GCCGCCTTCCTTGAGTCCTCACACAGTCCATAACCCATCATACCCCTGTTGTAGAGGGGATAGGGTATTACCTATCCTCCTCTGACAACAGTTCTTCCTCCGAGGGTACACATCCTTCCACGGTTGCAGTTTGGCCCTCCGTGCCGCCATTCACAGTCGAGGAGCTTGCCTCCGGCTGAGGAACCCGTGAGTTGGAGGCTGGAGGATCTGTCTCCATTTTCTCCACCACTTTAACTTGGTCTCTCCTTAGACCTGATACAGTTTGTCCCGCATCTGTAATAGAGGATATGTCCCTTTTTCTCTATTACCTCCTTGCATTTTAGGTCAATTCCTATGATCCTCCTCCCTCGAGTTGATGACTCGCCAACTCGATGTCTTTACATTGAAGTTCTGACCCTGGATAAGGCTCAGCAGGTAGGTGGTGTCTTCGGCAGAAAGACCGTGATGGCCACCCCTTATTCCACGTTGAACATAATATGCCCTAAGATGCTTCCTAAGGAAGTTACAGCCCCTTGAAAGCCTTCACAGCCCCTTTAGAACTCTTACTTGAAACATATCTTGTAAACGAACTTAAAGTGGAACTCGAGAACCTGGAAGAACTCCCTCCATAACCTGGAATGGGAATCTTCCAACCGGTCAAAGACACTCAAAAAAGTTTCTCAGAATTTACGATCGAGAAAAATCAAAGATTTTCCTTGTTTGAAGTAAGGAAAATCTTCGGATTGTCACGGGTTTTTAACAGAACATAACATAACATAACAGCCGTTACTCACTGACGAGTATTCGACACACATATAGAAGATGGTCACGCAAGGCGTTTTCTTTCATGAGCTTTTCTGTGACTGAAAAGCCCGATACGTGATGTTATCTGCCTACCGCACTCCGCATATTCAAAAATCTCATGGCTTTGTTGCCTCTTTACTTTTTGGTTGTCGTTGTTAACTGAGTTTACAACTCTTCTCCACTGAGTTCTATTGTGAGCTGCTTTTTCCCACTCATTCTGCATGTTAAGCCCCTTTAAGTTTTCGTGGAAAATGTCCTTGTACCTTTTCAGTTGTCCACCCGGCCTCCTCTTACCGTCTACAAGCTCACCGTAAAGCAGAGATTTTGGTATGCGGTTTTCTTGCATTCTGCATACGTGACCAGCCCATCTTAAGCGGGATTTTGTAACCATGACTTCAATACTCTCGCAGTTAGCTTTTTCAAGGACCGACACGTTTGAGACATGATGGAACCATCGGATTCTTAAGAGTTGTCTAAGGTGTCTCTGTTGCAACTTGTTTAATGCGTTCATGTGTCGGCGGTACGGCACCCAGGTTTCGCTCCCATATAACATGTGGGGATCATAATTGCTTGGTACACTGCAAATTTTGTTTTTTGTACTGAAGTCATGATTGTAGAAAACCCTGTCTTTAATTTCCAGAATGCTCTTGAGGCGCTACTAATCCTGTGCTGAGTTTCGGAGTCAATATTGGCCTTTTCTGAAACCAAACTGCCAAGGTAATTGAATTCCGCCACATATTCTAATAGTTCTCCGATTTTTATAGCATTGTTGTGATCTTCAGGGGGAGTGCACATGATTTTAGTTTTGTCGATGTTTAGCTTAATGTCCAAAGCCTCGTATGCCCAGGTATATGTGTTCAACATTTCTTGTAATTGTTGTACCGTGTTTGCAACTAGAGCGCAGTCGTCAGCGTATTAAAGTTCTGTGATGAATTTTGTACATGTTTTTGCCCTGAGTCTTTTTATGTTGAACAGACTGCCGTCGTATCTGTATCTAATGCCCAATCCTCTCTCCTGCATTTTGCTGTCCACTATAATGGAGAGCGCTGCCATGAACATGTTGAATAGGAGGCGCTAAGACACATCCTGCCTAACTCCTGTATTTGTTAGGAATGGGTCGCTCACTGATCCATGATGTGACACTCTTGACTTGTTATTGTTATGGAGGCTTTTACACACTGTTAGAAATTTGTTGGGTACTCCGAACTTTTTCATAATTGCCCAAAGTGCATCTCTGTTCACAGAGTCGAAGGCTTTTATTAGATCGATGAATGCAACATAAAGTTTAGAATGCTGCTCTTTAACTTTTTCCTGTAGTTGACGGATGGAAAATATGGAATCGACGGTGCCGCGGTTGGTACGAAAACCCGCTTGCGATTCTGGAAGGATTTTTTTCTATATATGGGTGCAGGCGGTTTGACATAATTTTTGCAAGAATTTTTCCGCCGATAGCCAATAGTGAAATTCCCCGGTAAATTCCGCAGTCTGATGCACTTCCTTTGTTCTTAAATATATTCACTATATTCGCGTTGCGAAAGTCCAGAGAGTACCTCTCCGCTTTCCCATACGACATCGAAGAAAGCCTTTAGATGACCCTTGCACACTTATAGATTTCCGCCGGAATCGCGTCACAGCCAGCTGATTTGTTGTTTTTAGGCTGTTTTATGGAGGTCTTTATTTCCTGTTCTGTTATTGGGATGTCTAATACATCGAGGCTGTTATACTGAGGTATTGTGTTTAGTGCTTCTATATTGGCGTTGTTTTCTTGGTTAAGGATATGGCTGTAATATTCTTTCCAGCGGTTTCTGATTTGTTCTTCCTCTTTTAGAATTTCGCCATTTTGTGCCATGATTGGGCAACTTACCTTCTTAGTTGGACCGTATACTTCTTTTACAGCCTCGAAGAATTTACGATAATCGTGATGCGTGGCGTACTCTTCAATCTGATTCGCTTTTTGTGACCACCAGTTATCCTTTAACTTGGCGCAGTTCTCTTCGAAGCGTGTTGTTGGCTGCTTTAAAGTTGTCTACCAGTCTCGGATTATGCGGATTTGCAGTGACTGCTTGATGTGCTCTATGCTTTTGTTCCGATATATGCGGTTGATTTTCCTTAAACCAGTCTGGTTGTTTCTTTTTGTTCGACTTTCCCAGTACTGCTTCGCTGGTTTTATGAAACGCATCCCTTAATTGTGTCAGAATTGTGTCAATAGAACACTGTCTCCTCATTGAACACCTCAGTAGATTGAAACAAAAAACAATGGCAAATGCAGATTTTGTGGGGAAAATGGAAGAGTTTCATTCCAGAACACCTCATCACTGAGTGCGATGAGATTGGAGATGGAGATGGAGAACTAACCTTTTTAAAACCGTCTCAGAGACTGGTCTTTGTTAAAACCTGGAGCTCGCGGTGATTAACCCCTTTTTCACGGGAACTTTTTGTTATATTTTTGTCTATAGCTTCACCCATTTAAGTTTTGTATACTATTTTTACGCGTTGTGTAGGTACTAACACAAGAAAAGTTTTTCGTCACTTGCATCTTCTTCATATTGCTTTTCTATAAGGTACCTATCGGATGGTTCTGCCGGTGGTACGTCTGCAAACCACGATTTTTTAGCGAGATATTTTGATTCACAAAACATTGATCTAATATCTGAAAAAATATCGGTTATTGACAGTACTTGACTGGATAGTTATTAGGTTGAATTTCTCAATAAGTCAAATTCTATACCTTTCTCACCTTACATGATTTGAAATTATGCTCAAAATATGAATTTTTCTTATAATATAATACCTGTGTAATATCACCCAAACAAAAAATGTTATAATTAACTAATAAAAATTGGTCATGTGCGAGTCGGACTCGCGCACGAAGGGTTCCGTACCATTCATCAAAGAATATACCTAGCTAGAAAAAGAATGGACTCTGCCATACTGAAAAATGGTCCTACAGAAGTGGCGCCATCTATTGAGTAGGGCTTGTCTTAAATGGATCGAAGCGCGGGCTTTTTAAATGAGCGTTTTTGTTGAATTTTACTCTAAAATAATTAAATTTGATTATTAAATCTTATTTTTTACACAAATTCAACAATACTAATAACAAGTATTGTTGTGATGTGTAAAAATAAGATTTAACAATATAATTTATACAATTATTAAATAAAATTAAAGCCAAACATGTGAAATATTATTTATTATTTAAAGTTCTTATTTATAAGTCAAATATTTAAGCATCGTTTATTATAATAAAACAAAACCAACGTAATACGCCCAAAGTTTTGTAAATGGAGTAAATATAAATAGGTACTTAAATGATGGCAAATATAAAAGACTTACATTATATTTTTAGGGCCACAAACAAAAGGAATTGTCTAATTAAAACACATATAACAAATTATAGTTTGCAAAACGTTTTGATAATATTATGATTGGCGCTATGACAACGACAATATTTTTTGACAATAATATGACAATGGCCGTTGGAAACTATGGAAACTACAAAAAAAATTCTGATTTAACGCCATCTGGCAATAACTAGTAGCAACTTCTTAACCTAAAAATTAATTGCACTACCACCTAGTGGCTAGGGCTTGAACTATTTTATTTGAGATTTCCGTGGAAACGGTGGAACCGCTTTTGCTATTTCAGTTTCCCGCCCCTGCCATTCATTATCTATACAACGTTAGACACTATATTATTATAAACTTTTTTTCTGATTTAACTGAAATTTTGAATGCGCGTATAAGTAATTTAAAAAAAAATGAAGAAACACGTTACTAAAAATTGTATTAATCATTAATAAATATTATGTAAAAGTAAAATAAATATGTAAAAATTAAAAAAAACGATTAAAAAAGTCGCCTTGACCAGGATTCGAACCTGCCTTACTACGGCTCCAACGTCATAGCAGCGTAAAGTCCTAACGCTTTAACCACGCGGCCACCGAGGACTTGAAAGATTCTATATAAAATTCTTACTTAAAAGATAATTATTTATAAACATTTATTTAATTCTGTTTTTAGTATTTGTACAACATAGATACATTATCTGTAAAAATTTCAACTGTCTAGCTATAACGGTTCATAAGATAGAGCTTTGTGACAAACGGACGGACGGACAGCGAAGTCTTAGTAATAGGTTTCCCGTTTTTACCCTTTGGGTACGGAACCCTATAAATGATGACAAAAATTTTATAGTGCCTATTTTTTTTACAGATATACAGAAAGAAGATCGAACAAATCTGGATACAGTGATAATGCACATTGACATGGATTGCTTTTTCGTATCCGTTGGTTTGAGAAACCATCCCGAATTGAAGGGAAAACCTGTGGCAATTACTCATGCTAAAAGTGGGGTTATAAGTAACGCTGATCCAAATAGACAAGCTAGTAGAGCCAGGGAATTTGAATTGTACCAAGAGAGACTACCTGAAGGCAAGTACCTACCCTTATTCATTTTATGGCTGGTTTATACTTTCTCTGATCTTAGAGCTCGAACTCACTGACGACCAGGTCGCAACAACCTGGCCGAACGACCCTGGCCGTCGGCTGGCCGGATGTATTGCGTTTATAGCTGCGGCCAGATGAACGACCAGTTTCAACAGAGTTGTCAGATCTAACTTTTTGTTATGTTTTGCCAATTAGAAAATATTGTTTCAGAAGGAATTAAGTTTCAGAAATGTTAAAATATCCGAGTTAACTAAAAAGCGAAGTTGCTATTCATGAGCTTATTAAATGTTCTAATATTAAATAATGCATTTAAAATATTCTTGGATTTTTCATTAATAAATACTGGTGTGGTAAATGGAGTAAGTAAAATCTCCAACCCCGTCTACACGATAACGTCGTTATTTCCATGTTTTACAAATCCGCGATACCTACTATTCCATCAGTCGTTTCATAACAGAATATTCTAGATCCTACGTTTATGTAATTTAATATGTGTAGAGTAACATCAATAAAGGACAGAAACAGTATTGTTCCTAAAGGCGCGTCCAGACTTGAGCATTTTAGCCCGAACGAACCGAGCGCGCACGAACAAGCAGAACAAATAGGCCGAACAAAAAGCATTGTGTACGCGCGACCGACAAGAAAGGAGATATTCTGTTTCTTTTTTCTACTGATATGGACTTCTACTGATGGCTCTTATCGACTTGATTTATTTGTTTGATAGCTTATTTTACTTATTACATATTGGCAAAAACTAGTACATTATGAAGATTATTATGGGTTATTTATTTATTGATGTACATCTTACAAAGCCATAAGTGGTAATAACAGGCAAGAGGGTGCTATTGATGCACAAACTAATAATCACAGAATTTAATAAAAACTAACTTTGAAAGTGGTATAATGTGCTTATCAATCAATCAAATTTTTAAGCTTAAAGTGTAAAAAACAACACAATTCATTTAAACCAAAAACTCGTAATACAAAACTAAAGTGCCAAAACGAATGGCAATGTTAGGAAATAAATAAATTGTGGCATCTTGACATTTTTTTACAACAGAGCTGCCGCCTGAATCACCAGCGGGAAATTTAAATTCCAGTTAGTCAGTCCGGGGCCGAATATGTCCGTTGTTGGCAACAATGAATTTAAAAATCGCGCCCTCGATTACGTAACTAAAAGTTTAATTGGTATCGCTTATAGGTGCCACGTCCAGAGTGGTCGATTTAACCGATAAGATTGATGGTTTGGCGTCAATGTCTGAGATAGCCAGTTGCAGCTATGAAGCCCGACAGAGAGGAAT